TTACATAGAGCTGAACAGATTAGTGAATGATTAGTTGAAACTCAAATGTGAGGATTTGCAGATTTTGTTATATTTTTTGGTCAGTTAGTAGGACAAATCAAGAAACTTTTAAACCTCAACTTGGGCTCGAAGAACTAGTGATGGACATTTTTAACATTTTCTGGCATTATAAAGACTAAACGATGGATTGATAAACTGAAAAAATTATGTACTATTAATTGATAATGAAAATAATATTAGTTGCATCCCTTTAATTACACATATTCATCATTAAAAGGGCCATAATGTCCCCACATGAATGCACCCTATAAACTAATTCATAAACACCCAGAGCAAAAAACCTATAGGACCCTCTTTTAGGCCATGTTGTTTGTTTGTTTATTTGTTTGGTCCTCCTTTTTCTCCCAAAGCACTAATGTAGCCATTCAGTTAAAATGACAGTTTCAAAATTACAGTACATAAGAGAATACTTTCAACCCTGATGACTAAAATTTCTATGCAAATGTACAACTTCTTTTTTCCATTTACTACCTTGATCTTCATGCGTCCAATAGATTTGCTCAGCTTGAACATGACAAAGATCAAGCTCGGGTTAACAGGCTTCCGGCAGCAGGGGCAAGTCTCCTGCCTACAGAGGATAAATTACAGTTAATCCTGCTCATCTGTATGGACCAGACATGACGAAAAATCCAATATAGTACAATTTTACAATGTTTTTTATGCAGTGGTATTGATCCATGTTCAGTACCTCTTCAGCCACTGTAAGATGCATTTCTTACAGAAGATGTGGTGGCATGCGGCCCTTACTGGACACCTGAGGACCCCCTGGCATATGGTGCAGATCAAATCGTAGTCTGGAGTGTCCACAAAAAGCTCCACGTCATAGCCCCCACTCTGTGTTGACACCTCTGGGTCCGCCTAGATATGGCCAACATAAATACTACTTTTATTGGGTTATCATGATCATGTATTTCAGGATGACATTAAGAGTAGAGTTGCGTCAGCTGGACAGACTGTGACCCGTTATGTATCAACAGGTGAGTATTTTCTCTACCGCTGCCCACAACAGGTCCACAGTGTTTTCAATATAAAGGCAAGAGATGACAAAACAGAATTGTTCTGGAAAGTCATATGACTGATTGCATGATAACAAGGTGTAATTCTGCCAAAACAGTTTTTCCCCCACTCAAAACAAGAGATAATTACAAATGGTTCTAAACAGGTGGTTTGGTAGTACTTCTTCAATTGCATTTTTGATAAATTCAAATATTGACTGAAAATTAAAACTTGAGACTATGTTTATAAGGGAAAGCAAATTTCAGAGCTCAACAGAAATTAGCAAAGTAGCTGTTCTCACATTAAGGATGTGTAATAGTTTCTAAATTGTCCACAAAACGGAAGAATAAAATCTAGATTTAAAAAATAAAACAACAACATATAAACAGAGGCTCCTGCCTACTCACCATGATAATCTCCTGTCCTCACCGTGTTTCCATTCCCGGCTCTGGTTTACTCCATATCGGTCCACTCACATGTCACATATGGAACACACACCCGCCTTATCAGTACAACACACATGAACATTCCTGACAAAACACGAACACGACCGGTGTCTGTGTGTGTGCGGACAAATGAAAACAGAAAATTATGAAAACGAAGGGAGATAATGGCGCTCATTATGGAGCCCGTCCTTTCCCTGCTGTTCTAGCACCAAAGCTTCAGCCTCCACGCGTCAAACAGGGAACTTTTAAACATGAATAGCTGCAGCTGACTCTATTGTTATGAGTCTAGGGGGCAACATTTAAAAGTCAAAGTTAATTATGAGACTGTAATGATCACATGGCATTCACACATTTTACTTATAAACTTTAATTTTCATTTTAAAAAACCCTACGAATTTACATGTTTAAAAAGAAGAAATGAATCATGTTGACAGTGGGATTTTACAGCATCACGAACAAACCGGTCTGGCCAATCACAGCTCAGTGCGCCCACATGACGTACAATGGGTGCGACTCGGTTATCCACATGCTGGATGGATGTGTTGACTTTATCCAACGTGTGAAGTGAGGAATAAGTAATTTATGTCACCATAGCTGCCAAAATATTAAGGTTTTGGTTTTCTCGTGAGCAAGATGGCAAACGCCAATCTTCAGTTCAAAACAAAGTAAGTTTTTGACGCATGGCGCGTGCAGGCTGCAAATCTTGATAGCTGGCTAACGCAAGCTAGGCTAAAGTGTCATTTAAAGTTGCTAAAACGTACAGTCTTATTCCTGTTTTCCCATTACAGCTACGTTGTTTCCAGCAAAATAGAACCGTTTTACAAAGGAGGGAAAGTGCAGGTGAGTTTTCCTGTTTGTGTTTTCTGTCTAAATCAGTGTGGATTAACGTTAACATACCTGCCTGAAATGATCTTGACTGGTAATGCACTGCCATAAAGGTGGGGGACTTGCGAATGACAGATTAAAATGAGAATGAAAAATTGGCACTAACCAAGAGCAGTAAACTGATGTTGATATGTAGACTCGTCTGACCGCCCCTCTAACCTCTCTGTCTGTTTGTTTTTCAGATCAGCAAAGATGAAAAATACATCTTTTGCACTTGTGGATCTCGTGTCAATGTTTTGGAGATCAGTACAGGGAAGATCGTCCACAGCGTTGAGCATGTGAGTCCAGAATGGGTTACCTTTGCGGGCCAGAGCCATGCAACCATAATGTTTACAACAACAGAGCCCCTGTTTCGGAGACCACTCTCAGCAGAAAAGAGCTTGTGTTGCTGACTTTTACCTGCCAGCGTGGGTACTTGTGCCTTTATTTTATACTGTGCCAAAAATTTTAAATAAACAAACCAACACAGGTAAATGTTTTTTAAAGAAGGTCAAAGTATGGTTTATATACAAGCTTTTCATTCTGTTTAAAACTTGAACAGGCTTTTTTTTTTTTATTTTTGACTTGGAGTAAGTTTATTGATGAGTCCTGTAGTTATAGTATTGGTTTGTTGGTAATATGATTAGAGCTAAAAGGATAAATTGATTGTCCATTGACAGAAAATCATATGGCAACAATTTTAATAATCATTTTAGTGATTTATTAAACAAAACGTAAAATCTTTTCTGGTTCCAGCTTCTAAAATGTAAGGATTTGCTGCGTTGCTTTGTTTTGAATCACTTTTGATGTTAATATGCTGAAGATATTGGGTAAAAAAGGCAATTTGTCAGATAGCTCTGGGAGCTTGTCAGTTTCTAAATATGATTTCCCCCAGCTCTAAATATGATTTCACTTGGACGCCTGCATTTTTACGCTCTTTTACAATAACCACACAGTGAAAATAGGTTTTGGATATTATTGCATCATCCATGACATTTTATTGTTGACATCTGATAATGTCAAATGCATCCCATCCTCTGATAGCATTTTGTACCTTTGATCATCCTGAGAACCTCTCTGTCTTGTCTGTCCATATTGCAGGATGATCAAGAGGACATCACGTCTTTTGCACTCAGCTGTGATGACGAGGTAAAGCAAACACCTGAACCACCTGCCACTGCTTCAGTCAAACTTCATGATGTGAATTCATCATATTGGCCTGTAAAACGGTATTTAGTTTGTGTATATCTCTGCTCTGTGTCACACCACAGCTGCTGGTAACGGCCAGTAGAGCTCTGCTGCTGAAGCAGTGGGATTGGAGGCAAGCTCAGTGTACACGCTCCTGGAGGGCCATTCACACTGTTCCTGTAGCCAGTATGACCTTTGACTCCACCTCTACACTCCTGGCGACAGGTCAGCAAATGCATCATTAATGACAATAAGCTGCGTCCCATGTTTCTGCCTGGTCTCTGCTACATAGATGCTGTACAGTTTGCAAAGTTTGTTTTCTTGTTGTCTCACAGGTGGCTGTGATGGCACTATAAAGCTTTGGGATGTAGTGAAGCAGTACTGCACCCACAACCTTAAAGGGTCATCTGGAGTTGTACAGTGAGTTCAGATATCTAAGAACTACAAATTCTCTGAATAATATGCATTGACAGAAGTTGTTTCTTTCTTTTTATCCATGATTAGTGTGCCATTCCTACTTTCCCAGTATCTTTAAGATGCATGAACATGTTTTTCTACAAAACCATTTTTCATTTAACAAAAGAATGCATTTTCCACAGTTAGATGTTGTCTAAACACAGTCAATACTTCTATTTTGCCTTTTGATTTGATCAGAAATTAATTGATAAATGAATAGGTAAACATGATTACTTGCCAACTATCAGTTTTAGAAACTGACAGGGTATTTAAGGAGACTGAGTACACAGCTTATTTCCTGGATAGTCAGCTTTATTGAGGTGGGGAAATAGCAGAGTTAAAAAATCAGGAGTGCTTTGATTCAACTACTGAAACTAGTTCACCAGCTGAGTGGCATGAGTGATCTAAGAAAATAACATTTGGTTCAATTAGGCATTATCCGAAAAATGTTTTTTAAATCTGCCACATTTTCTAATATCACAATACTGAAGTGTTTTTAAAGTTGGTGTCTTAATGTTTTTCTAATAATAAAAAAATAATGGATGTATTCGTTTATGTGGCAGAGTGTCATTAAACAGAAAAAAATAGGTTTAAGCGAAAGATACTGCATTTCGTAACTAAATTCAGTAACAGAATAAATGTCCTTTCTGTATCTTTGCAGTCTCGTCCAGTTCCACCCAGACATCAACAGGCTGCAGCTGTTCTCCTCCTCTCTGGACTGTGGCATTCGCTTGTGGGACCTGCGCTCCAGTCAGTGTGTGTGTGCTACAGAGCCACTACAGCGCTGTGACCTCCCTCAGCTTCAGCCCCGACGGTGGCACCATGGTCAGGTGCGCATGGGCTGTTATCTCACATCAAACTGCTGTTTTAGGGTGTTTCTCTAAAGCTGTGTGTAATTGTGTGCTGATCTTTATTTGCAGTTCTGGCAGAGACCAGATATGTACAGTGTGGGACCTGAAGACCCGGAAAGCACGAGAACTGTACCTGTCTATGAGGTAAGATGGTATAATGTCTTATTTGAATAACAAAGAATGATAAGATCTGATCTTTTTGTACTCTTCGTGTGTGTGTGGGGGGGAGATTACAGCCTCATTTGTGCGTGTGTTGTCTATTTCTACAGGCTGTGGAGGGTGTTGTGCTTCTGCCTGAGAAAGAGGACTTCTCTGAGATCGGAGTGAAGAGCAAAGACTTGCATTTCATCACAGCTGGCAGCAAGGGTTCGCCTCGTTAATTGTCCCGAACGTCTAATCTGTGTTGCCGTGCACAAGTCTAGATTTTGAGGCCAGAAGTCACTCCGAGCTTCTGTCACTCACCTCTCCTCCCCTTCTTCCCTTGTAGGTGTATTGAGAGTGTGGGAGGCCAGCACGTCGCGTTGTGTCTACACCCAGACCCTCCCCTCCACCCTCACCACTGTCTCTGAGGCTGAGGGGGAGGAGGAAGAGAAGGACGACGACCCCCGCGGTCTTACATATCTCCTTCACCTGCCCGCCTCTTCCAGACTGGCCTCAGTCACAGCAGAACACAACATACTGCTCTACCAGTTGCCTGGTCTCACACACAGCAGCAGGTGGGTACCGAGGATACACATGTGTAAGATGTTTAGATCCAGTATAGACCAAAACATCTGCTAGTATATTATTACATAATTTCTTTAAAGGATTTTACATATACACTGACAATTGGTTCAATTATAAGTTGAAATTAGTATTGGCATTACATCCTTGGTTTATTACTCGCCGGATTATTATTTAACAGTTATCTCTATTGGATGTCTTTACTCTTGTATTTAAATATAAATTGTAAGTTAAGGAAGTGCTTAGCAAAGTGCTTATTATATTTTATAAGGTATCCAGGTCTTTTATTGTCATTTATGTAAAATTCATGGACATTCTGTTACTTCCTCTGTCCACCCTCTCACAGTTTGTGGGCTACAGTGATGAGGTGCTGGACGTGAAGTTTCTGGGCAAAGGGGACAGCCACATTGTGGTGGCCACCAACAGCTCCCAGCTGAAGGTGTTTGAGCTGCTCACAAACAGCTGCCAGATCCTCTACGGACACACAGGTCAGTCACCAAAACAGGGCGGCATGTGTGGGTGTAATACCTGCATGTGAAACACAATGCAGTGTGTTTATTTATACACCAGAGGGCGGAAAGTTTCTACAGTGCTGCAGTGAGTTTGTGTTGCCCCACAGAGGCAAACGGCAAAAAGTGACATAAGTGTAATCAATGGTTTTTTTTCTTGATTTGATTCAGTTATCTGTCTTTTAAACATTTGAGCACCGATATCATGACTGTTAATGTAGGTAAAACAGCCAATCTTCTGTCTATTTTTGCAACATTTTACAGATACAGATTTTCCATGACTTGGAAATGAAAATCTTACTACACTTATATTACCACACTTGTAATAATGTACAGTCTAATAATAATAAATAATAATAATAAATAATAATAATAATAATAATAACCTTTTAAATGTAGAGAATGTAACTGTAACAAAATATTGTGCTTTAAACACAAAAGTAAAATACATTAAGATTAATGTGAACATAAAATTATACATTAATTTACATGATATAAATCTTTAA